GGCGCGTCCGAGGGCACCGTGCTGCCTTTTGAAGCGCTTCTCCGGGGCAGTGGGAGCGAGGCGTTCGAAGGGGGCGTGACGCCGCGAGGTGGTGGCAGCTGCGGGGCGACTCCCCGCCCGTGGATGCCCCCCGCTCCTTTTGCGCGGGCCCCCCTTGGGAGGGTTGGGGAGGAGTCGGGGCCAGAGCCACCGTAGGACTCGGCAGCGGGCCGGGGGCATCAGCCACCACAGGGCGATGTCGCCCGACCGCGGTGGGGGGCACCACAGGGCGTCCCCATGGCGACCATATGTGGGGCGAGGGCGGACGGGGGGGAGTCGTGCAACTCCTTGGCTGCAACCGAATCAGCAGCAGCACGGCGCCCTGGAGAACCACGAGCACCGTGACAACCAGGACCTGGACCAGCATTGCGTTGCTGAGCAGCGCAGGTGCACACAGCACCACAGATTGGAACCAGCATCGCCATTGTTACAGCTGCTAACCCGGCACGATTGGGGCCAGCGGCGCGGCGCCGTGCAGTGCGAGTGCGCACAGCAGCTCGGGCGTTGCCATCACGACCGGGGCGGCAGCGCCACGGCAGCGCGGAGCATACCAACACGATTGGGATCGTGACTCGAGGGTGGACCCAGCCCAGGTGGCCCCCCGTTTCCCACCTGGACCAGCGTGAGGGGACGGGGGGGGGGGGGGCGCCCGTTTTACCCCAGGATCCCCAGGAGGAGGAGGAGGAGGAGGAGGAGGAGGAGGAGGAGGAGGAGGGAGGGGCTCCCTGTTCGAAAGCTCCCCAGCACTCCTGGAGGTAGATCGTGCCACGCCAGGGGGGGGCGGCCCGCCCACCCGCCTCCCCACGACCGGGGGGGGGGCGAACTCCCTGGGGGCGGGACAGGGCGGGCACCGAGGGGACACAGTACACCTTAGGCGATGCTTTAGAAAAATTAAGTTTTCGGCCAGAGTCTCGATTATTCTTAACGTTTCAATGTAAATCTTAAGATTTTAATAGACATGTTGGGTTTTTATTCAAGTTCTGAGACTATGAATTTCTTAACCCATGATTTCTTAAGCATTTCGCAGGGTGTAGGCCTTCCAAACACAAAAAGTGGGCACCATAGGCAGGTCGCAACCCACGGAGGTACACCACAGGTCCTCCACCCTGTACGACTTGATTCACCATTCGTTGAGCCTGCCCACTTGATGGTTCGCCCTCTCTCCAGCCGTGGCCACGAGGGCGCCCCACGACGACCAAGATAAAGGACCGAACTTTATACACCTATGCCTTTGTTCTGGTCCCGCACTGAGATCCGCAGAAGGAAACGGATTCTGGTGTCTACGGCATCCTGGCGTGCACATGTTTTGCTGCTTCCACAGGAAAACTGGGAAACACTTATACACCACACCACCCCGACGTCATCCCCGACCCTCAGAAAATCCTGGGCTTGAGAAACAGCCCGCCACTGGTAATGTATACGTTCCAGTTTCCGACGAGAAACGTCCAGAGAGCAAACCCGACCCCTTCGTCATCGAGCCTCGGTCCCCGCCCCCCCCCCAGCCCGGGACGGAACGACGGCGGGGGACGGGCTCCGGGGGAACGGCATGGGCGGGAACGCCGCGCGGGGATCGGCGATGCACCGCCGACAGCTCGACGAGAGGCTCCCGATGACGCATCCGTACGCCAGGGCTCCCAGCTTCGTGCTTCGCGCTGCGCGAAGCGCGAAGTGCGAATGCATTCGCGCTCTCGCGCCGCCTCCCAGGGGAGAAGAGGAGGATGAGGAGGAATCGGAGCCGAACCGCGAAGCGCGAAGCGCGAATAACTTCGCGCCCTCGAGGGCGCCCTGGGTACGGCCCTGGGCGGAGTGGGCCATCGGGCCCCCCTCGGCGATGAATGGGCGAGTGGGTGTCGATGCCTCCACTCCGTGCGTTGTCGATGGCTTTCGGGTCATACAACTCGGATCTCCCATGTGGGCAACGAAAGCTGGACCCCGCGCCAGGTCAAATGCTGAGTCTATCCTCTTCGTACGTTGCCCCGATGTTTACGGGTCATATAACTCGGCTCTCCGGCGGCCATTCGGAACGATCCAGGCACCCCCGAAACGCTCTCGGCGAGGCGCAGCTGCTGGAGAGTGACCCGAGGCTGGGAAACCGCCAAGAATCGAGAACCGACGCAGACGCCCGAGAACATCGAAAATCGAAGACCAAACTTCCAGAAATGCCCCCTAATGATAGCCCCTGACCTTGAGCAGGAGCCAATCGTCCTGGCATCCTTATAGGCCTACCACGAAAAAATCCTATAACGAAAAAATTGTTATTAGAACAGAACACCAATGAATGAACCGCAAACGGTCTCGGCCAGAACTGTTCCGAGAACACCTCGTGCAAACCACAAGAGGCCATTAGAACATTATTGTTTGGTGGGCCTATAGACAAGCCCGGACGCCTCGCCACTGTTTGATGACCACCCCTCCCCTAGAGGCCTCCTAGATCCTAGACGAGGTCCGAGTAGATGGGGTTGGAAGATCGCGCCGCATTGCCGATACATCGGCGATGCATCGCCGATACATCGCCGATGCATCCGCGACGTCAATGACGTATCGGTGCCGTTGGAGTGGAGCAAACCCGGCTCCACATCAAGCCGCATCGCCGACGCATCGGCGATGCGGCGCGATCCTCCGACCCCACCTACGCGGACCCCAGCTGAGAGGCCTAGAGACCCGTCTCCTGGCGGCCGGCGCCGCCGCCTGCTCGGGGGCGGCCAACGAGGGGGGCGTCCAGGAGGGGGGGAGGCGCAACTCATGGCCCGAGGCACGGGCGCGGCCCAGGTGGGGGGGCCGGGGGCGCGCGGAAACGAGAAGGGGCGCCACACATCGGGGGAGGTGCCCTGGCCCCCGCCATGACACCTCCGCCCCCCCCTGGCCATCACCCCCCTCCTGGCCATCGCTCGGACGTCCATTCCCTGTGCTTTTTCCGGTTTCGTGCGTGGCTTTTCCGCCAGATGATCTCAAGGATGCTCCCCGATGGCCCTCGCCGAGGGAACAACGCACACGTCCGAGCGATGCCAAGCCTCTCGGCCGCCCCCGACCTGCGTGCGCCGCGGCTCGCCCACGCCGCCGCGGCCCGCGGCCCCGCGCCGCCGCCCGCGCCCCGGCGGCGGCCGCGGGCGGCCGCCGCCGCGGCCGCCGCGGGCGCCGCCGGCGCCGCCGCGGCCGGCGCCGCCGGGGCGGCGGCGCGGCCGCTCGGCATGGGCGGCGGGGCGGGCGCGGCCGGGGCCCCATCGCGCCGGGGGGGGGGGCCTCTCGAGGCGGAAAACACACACGAAAAACACACACACACACGCAAAAAAAAAACACACGAAAACACACACGAAAAACACACGCGGAAAACACACACGAAACACACACACGAAAAAAAACACGCACGGCAAACACACGTGCAGAAAACACACGTGCAGAAAACACACACACGCACACACGAAAAACATATATATATATATATATATACACACACACACGACACACACAGACACACAACACGTGTGTGTGTGTTTTCCCCACGGGCGCACAGCACGAGCCGAGGAGGGGTCCCAGCGGCCCCTTTTGGGGCGCGCGCGCGCCAGGAGCGGGTCGGAGCGCCGCCTCTCTCCCGAGCCCCTCGCGGGGAGAGGTCCGTCTCTGGTGGGCTTGTTTTCCACCACCACCACCATCAGTAGGAGGGGGTAGGGGTCCTCGTCCTCCTCCTCCTCTTCTTTCTCCTCCTCATCCTCCACCTCCTCCCCTTTCCAACTTATGGTGGTGGTGGTGGAAAACAGGCCCATCAGTCTCTCTGTGCCTTCTCACTAAACGCCCCCTCCCCCACCCGACCGGCAGCCAACCTGAGCCCATGCCGACACCTTCCGCCACCCCTGCCAAAAGTCCAATACAAAAGACACGACGGTGCCCCCAAATCTGTATCATGCGCGGGCGCCCTGCGAACGCTTTGCGTTCATTTCCAATACAAAATACGCGACGGTGCCTCCAAATCTGTATCATGCGCGGGCGCCCTGCGAACGCTTTGCGTTCATTTTGCAGAAGGACGGAGGTACCAGCATCCTGGTTGCTAGCAGGCCAACGGCCAACCGTCTAAGTCAAAAAAAACAATACAAAATACACGTTGCCTCCAAAGCTGGATTATGCAGGGCGCCACGGGACCACTCTGGATTTGTTGACAAGGACGGTGGATGTGCAGGCATACGTTATTCCTTGCTGGCGCAAGCCAACCGTCCAAGTCAAAAAACCAATTCGAAAATACAATGTGCCTCCAAAAATGGATCTTGCTTTGCTTCTGGCAAGGGCGGCGTGGGTGCCAGCAGATTGCTTGCTGCGCGCAGGCCTACCTTGCATGTCAATACACCAAATAGAATGCACTTTGCGACGACATCTAGATCATGCGCGGGCACCCCGCGATCACTTTGCATTGGTGTTTGCTTCGGGACGGCGGGGTTCCTAGCACAAAATGTGTCCCGGCCTTATGCACGGCAGAATGTTGGCACACGTGTCCATCCATGGTTTGATTTTCAGGGCCCAGTAGTTCATCTGTGCACCCATGGTAGTCAAATCTGGTTACTATTTGGTTGAGACGTTCGCGGTGCACCGCGAACGTCGTAACAAACTCCTAACCAAATCATAACCAGATTGCGTCGCAACCAAGCCGTGGCCATGTTGGATGCACCGTAACCACATGTTAACCAGATGTCTAGTTTTCGCAGCCGAATCACAACCACACTACACTTCGTAATCAAATCTCGCGCAAACAAATCAAAACAAAGCGCCACTCTGCAGAGGAATCGGTTCTACAAGACGACGATTTGGTTACGGACGCGCGGGCAACAAACCATTGTAATTTACAATAGTTTGGGCGCATGATTTGGTTATGCTGTCTTGTCTTCTAGGGGCACGAAGGCTCACCATGTCTGTAATGTTGCATTTCGGCGGGGACGGCGGGGATGCGGGCACATTGCTTGCTGTGCGCAAGCACACTATCCCTGGCAGAAAGCGATGCCCAATATTCTGCGCACTGCAACTATCGAGTCCCCGCACGCGTCCTCCTAGTGATCCCCTGGCGCACCTGGAGCGCCTGGCACGCTTGGGCCTCTGGAGTGCCTGGCGCACCCGGAATACCGTGGCCTGGGCGACATGCTGAGATTCGGGTGCTACGTATGTATGTGTTGCGAGGGCGGGTGGGAGTGAGCCAGACAGCTTGCTTCTGGGAGATGTGTCTCGATAACTGGTCCTAATGAATACACCCCCTCCCCACCAGACCAGGACAATGCGGGCACCCCGCCGACGACCAAGTCAAAAACAATACAGGATGAACGCTGCACCGAAATCTGGATCATGCGCGAACGCCCCACGATCGCCTTCCATCTGATAGAGACAGGGGCGGCGGTGGTGCTGGCATATTGCCTGCTGGGTTAACTGCCGGCACCCCCCAAACCATCCCATGCTCGGAACGATGCACAGTGCACTTTGCACCCAAATCTGGATCATGCTTGGACGCCCCACGATCGCTTTGCACTCGTGTTTGGTAAGGACGGCGGGGGGGGCGGGCGGCATACTGCATGCTGTGTGCAGGCCCACCATGCCTGTCGACAGAAAACGGCATACTGCCTGCTGTGTGCAGGCCCACCGTCCATGTCAAAAGCAAGTGAAAAGTGACTGCGGGCGCACACCCTCACATCATACACCATGCTTGTACACCCGCCGTTACTTCGCGGAGGTTTGTGACAGGGATTGTGGGGGGATCGACAGATTGCCCAATGCGGCGCACCGGATGCGCGAGGCGCCCCCGCGAGAACGACGACGACGACGACGGCGACAACGGCGAGGACACCCACGAGCGGCGGCGACGACGGCGACGCGGCCGAGCGAAAGCACGACCAAGGAGGACGATGAGGAGGAGGATCACGACGGCGGCGGCGACGACGGCGGATCGGAAGAGGCGGCCGCTGGGCCCCGGGCGTGACACAGGTCCGCCACAACGAAGAAGAGCGCGCTGGCTCGGACCGCGACGGGCACGTAGTTTGCACGGGTCTCCTGCACCTGCGTCGCGGAACGGGCGGGATACCCCAGCGAGCGCCCTCGCGATGAGCGGCTACCACAACTGCGAATACTACAACTACGACTGACCACGTTACTACTACAACAACTACTACTACTACTACTACTACTACTACTACTACTACTACTACTACTGTTACTACTACTACTACTACTACTA